GTCCCAGGTGGCCAAGAAGGCCAACAGCATCCTGGCCTGTATCAGAAACAGCGTGGCCTGCTGTGGACCAGGGCAGTGATCGTCCCTTTGTACTCTGCGCTGGTGAGGCCGCACCTTGAGTGCTGTGTTCAGTTTTAGGCCCCTCACTACAAGAAGGACCTTGAGCTGCTGAAGGGTGTCCAACAAAGAGCAACAAAGCTGGTGAAGGGCCTGGAGAAAAAGTCTTAACGAGGAGCGGCTGAGGGGGCTGGGGTTGTTTAGTCTGGAGAAGAGGAGGCTGAGGGGAGACCTTATCGCCCTCTACAACTGCCTGAAAGGAGGGGGTAGTGAGGTGGGGGTTGGTCTCTTCCCCCACCCCCGGTGACTAGGGATAGGACAAGAGGAAATGGTCTCAGGTTGCGCCAGGGGAGGTTCAGGTCGGATATTAGGAAGAACTTCTCCACTGTAAGAGTCGTTAAGCATTGGAATGGGCTCCCCAGGGAGGTGGTGGACTCACCATCCCTGAAGGTGTTCAAAAAAATGTTTAGATGTGACGCTTCAAGACATGGTTTAGTGGATTTAACGGGCATGGTGGCATCGGGTATACAGTTGGACTTGATGATCTTTGAGGTCTCTTCCAACCATAATGATTCTATGATCAGATAAGAACAGGCACAATCATTCAAACTTTTCATTACCTGGATCAATTATCACTACCAGATCACCTGTGTGCCTCTCCCTTTTTGCCCTCTTTCTCTGTTTGATTATTTATGATGTGATGCCTTTTAGATTTGCAAGGCATCTAAAATACAGATGATCTTCCCTCCCTGAGTGTCAAACGCTGTTAGTTAATTGCCAATATGCCGTCAAGGGGCACAAAATACACAGCAGCACGTTGTGTACAGAAGGGAAGTAGTGTTTGCATCAGTTATGACAGGGCTCTGAAACTGCTATGGTAGGAATCCTGGGTTCCCCTTTCAACCACAGTGCCAGCAGAACCTAGTGTTGTAATGTATGAACCTCAACAAAAGTAAATTCATGAATCACTAAAGTGTTTTCATGAGCTGTATCTCCGGTAAATATTGCTCAGAAATTTTCCACACATTTTCAGAGCCAGTTAGCAACATTACAAACCAAAGACAGCTGTAGCCAAGTGCAAGCTATACACCAACACTGGCTGTGGGCTTAACTAGATATAACTTATTTCCATTCCTTGGTCGAGAGGTGGAAACTAAACATGTTGCAGAGGGAACATGCCTGAGAAGGAAAATTTTTTGCCTACAAAAGAAAGTTACACCACATGCAAGAGAGGGTGCGTGACTGGTATCAGCTGTAAGGCCTGGCACTGCTTGCTACCACAGAACAACTCAAAGCTAGTAAAAGTTTGCACACGTACGTAGGGTCATGGTGTTCCTCTTCGGTATGGCTGGCTTAATGTTGTCAGACACACCCAAACTGTTATAAATTGGAAGATTAATTTGAATAAGGAGTTGTTGAACTTTTGGAACCTCCAGGTACTTATATGCACAATCCCTCCCACATGCTGAGATCCAAGGAGGAATGCAACGTGTGAGCCCACACCTTACTGACCTAGATACACATGCACCTCCTTGTTGCAGCTGCTTCTGCCTTCTCAAGAAATAAACCAAAGATTATGAGTATCTGATCATGATGAGACTTTCTGCCACTCCTAAACACGACCAGTTCAACTGATCCCAATGCACCTCGGCTAGATCAGTACTAGTATGTTATTGCAATCCACAGGAAGGTAAACTAGGAACAAGCAACACTTAAAAAAAAATTATTTCCTAGCCAAATAATAAAGAGGCAGAAAGATCAGACCTGGTGAACTCTGGCAAGAGCATAGCTTGGAAAAAACCACATCTGGCAAACCATATACAACCTAGGAGAAGCCACTTCCCAAAGTCCAGGAGGTAAACGCAGTCAAAAGTCCCGTGATCTGTTTTGACAATCTATTTGCAATGGTCTAGCACTACTGAGCATTGTAGTCTGAGTTTGGGTTTTATTCTTAAAATTATTTTAATTAATGATCTGGGCACTAAACATAAGAGTCAAACCCTGACACATGGGAGTTCTTGAAATTTGTCATGTCCTGGACTGTAAAATTATTTGGGACTGGGATGACTGAGTAACTTCTTTGGAAACAACAGCAGGAAAAGAAGAACCATTTGAATTCCTCACAATCACCTGATTAATTCAGCTGTACAGAAGAAGAAGTTGCTGTAACCTAAATGCTAGCAAAATACGCTGTTGATTACGAAACAATTAAATTTCTCTCCTGGTTTGACTTTCGGGTTTTCTTGTTTAGGTTTTGGGATTTTTTTTTGTTTGTTTGTTTTGGTTTTTTTTAACAGCAACTCCCAATTAAAGACAATCTGACTAGGTCACCTTAAACTCAAAATTGAAACAGAAATCAACCTCCATGGATGGTCTGCTTTAATGCAGGGGTACTACACCGGTTTCCTCTCCAGTGGGAGAGGGGTTTCAACACAACCCACAATGAGTTAAAGAAAATACATGATTCATGCAAATTTCCTTAGGTTTGAAAAAACCCATAAGCATGTGAGGAGTAAACAGAGATTAACTGCCAAGATAAAAAATGCAGTGCTGCATCCTGATTAGATTTAGCTCACAGTAAAAAGGACAAGGAACAGGTTGAAGCCTGTAACCAGGATGATCCTCTCCCTCATACCCACAGGGCTACAAACATGCACTTCAATGACATATCTACAAAGCAAATGCTCCCGCCCTCCCACTCGCTACAGCCATTTTCTTTTGGTCTCTCAAATGCCACCTACACCTCTTGCTCTAACCTTGTAAAACCAAAACTTCTAGCATTTCTCCCATTTTTCTGTGGGACTTGGGACGGTGAGCCAATCTGCTCTCTGAAACTACTACCAACCTTCCCAGCCTCCTGCACTGACAAACACTGGCCTGAGGAATGGATTTTTCTCTCTTTGGGATTATGGACACAGTGAAGGTGCATCCAACTTGCATGCACACCCCATCAGGACAACCAATGCTGCTCCAAGAGTTTGCTGTGTTGAATTAAACTAAGCCAGCTGCTGTAGGATTTATACACACCACCCCTCCCTCTGTGGAAGAATCTATCCACCCTTCTGAGGGCATGAGAAGAGTTGCAGGAAGGACCTAGATGACCATCATCACTTGAGGGATCCAGTCTGCTCCCACACTATGGAGAAGGCTGGTTGTCAGCCCAAATGAAAGACCAACCCTAGATTTAGCCTGTCATCCTAGATGCAGTCACTAGCCAGGAAGAAGGTCATTAGTGAGAGACCATGTTTGATACTATAATGAAAACAAGGACTCTAACTAGCACTTGAATGTGCCCACATTTCCTCACTCCATTCCATTTTTTGCCTGGATTGGCCTCTGGTTTTAGTGTACTTGCACATCAGGATCATGTTGCCCAGGGGGAGGGAGAGAGAGAGAGAAGAGGTGCTCTTTGCCCATCGCAGTATCTCCCCATGGCAGCACGCTCAGCACCTCCCCAGCGATGCAACTTCACAACCCTTGCTGCCAACTCTTTGTCACAATGCAAAGGTTTGCAAAACACAGTTCTGTGTCCAGATTCATTGTTCTTCCACTCCACTGTTACTCAGCAGTGAGGAATATTCCTCTTCTTTCCTTCCCAGTCACAAGGGCAAAGAGAACAGCAACAGGCAGGTAAAGTGAATCTTTCTAAAACTGCAGATGAGTGTGAACCTTGCTCCAGTCCCATGAAAAGCTTCCCACAGTTAACCCAGTTTGACTCCCCACTGCCCAAGTGCCTGGATTTCTGTAAATCCTGCAATCTAGCAGGCCTTAATTGCACCAGCCTAGCCTACACACTCATACTGAGCATCAGCTGGGAGAGGGCATAAAGCCTCTGCTGAGCATTACCTCCACTTCTCAGTGGCTGGACTGTCACTTTCTTCTCTATCCCATTACAGATGAAGGGACAGGACAAAGCTGCTGTGGAAAAGGTTGTTGGATAGATGTCAACGATAACAGATGGAATTCACTGTGCAAGACACGGAAGACAACTCTACTTAAGTTAGTAACTGCTGTGGAGAAATGTAGAAGACACAAGGCGCGAGGGCTGTCCAGTGCAAAACATGGAGGCAGCAAAGTTCTGCCCTTGTTTCTGTCATAGTTACAGGGCAGGAAGGGAAGAAACTGCAGCAGCTGCCACGACCAGCAAAACATCCCTGAATCATTTCCCAGGCACCAAATGCTCCAGGAAGACCTGGGGCTTTACAGCCTTCCCTACAGAGGGGCAGTAGCAAGCTTTTTCCCCTCACCATCACTCACAAAGACAACAGACGCACAGGGGTCCTAGGGCCCTCAAGGGAGACAGAGGGCCTCCCTAAAAGACCATCTGGATGCCACCAGCCACGTCACGAGTGCTCCTCCATCCTACATGGACCTGGGCTGCCATTGCATGCAGAAGCTCTCTAGTTACCCTTTCAAAGGTCACCAGTACGGTGCCAGGTCAGAAATCTATCCCATTTATGCCCTTTACTGACAACTCCACTCATTTGCATTACTGAGATATGTGCCTGCGCTGGGAAAAAGTCCAAGCATCAAATACTGTGGAATATTAAAACAGATGAAGTGAGTGTCCCACTTAAAACACATTTTTACAAGCCTCTTTTTTGTCTGGCTTTTACATGCTTACAAGCCAAAGTTGTAGGTCCAGTTACTTGAATCATTCTCAATAGTACTTGGGCCATAGATGTAAAAAAAAAGGGGAGACAAGTCCAAAATATAACTGGGGGGAGAAGTATAAATCTGAAAGTCACTACACAATCACAAAAAAAAAAAAACCAAAACAAAACAAAAACAAACAATAAAAATCCTCAAAATGACAAAAACAAATTAACAAAACCCACACACCACAACACTGAAGTTGCAGACACAACTTCATGGACTTATTTTTCTGAATACAGTTGAGAGCTCTTGCAACCACTGCCTTCCTAAAATTGTTCTGGGTACATGGGGATATATCCTAAGGCGAAAAACGAGCAAGGAAAATAGACATTCCTTTTAGCTCAAATTTCTCTAGATGCAAATCCAATTGCCACATCAAGTTACCAACTTCTGAACAGCAGAATACACAATAATAAAAGCAACCTACGTTAATTACAAAGTTTAAAATTAACTACAAATAAAGTTATGATAGTAAACACATCCTTGTGGGGAGTCTAGTTTAAATCAGAACTCTGGAAAACCTTAGTTGAAATTACTGTAATCTTGCTCTGTAGTTCTATATAAACAAAAGATAACAGGGCACAACTAATTATATAATTTTACCAACTTTGATACAATTCCTTCCTTACATAGAGCATACAGTTCAGAATTATGTAGTCATACAAAAATTGACCTTAACTCATTTATTCAGATTTCATATTTTACAGTTCTCATCTTAAAAGTGATAGAAAAGAATTAATTTCTTTTTTTATTGGATGGTTATTATTTCACTATGAAATTGAATTCAGTTAAGTAGTCATGGAAATTGCATTATTCACTATGTTAGCTTTACTTACATACTGTAATCAAAATATATTTTGCACTCAAAATTAACAAATTCAGTTAAAAAATCCTTTAAAAAAGAAAAATTAGTAAAAAAATCCCCTGGTTGTGTAAAATGGGGAAATTTACTTGACTATTTCCAGCTAAGTGTTTCCACCAAGATTTTAGAACCAGTAGATCTTAATCTTTCATGCACGTGGTGTATTCAAAGATACAAGAAGCCTTTTCTTAACTGAAAATTAGCTAATGATCATTGATATTAATTAGCTGAATCCACCAAAACGGAGAAAGTATCCTTTCTGCCCCTGTAAAAGAACTGTGCTTTCAAAAGCTTTAAAACTTGAATAATGTGCAACCAGGGGCATAGCCAAGGAATTGAATTAGTTCAGCTGTCTTATGCTCTTTACCACTTGGGCAACAACGGTGCTGCTCAATGTTTTATTTAAATAATTTAAATACAGACTGTAGTAAGTTTTAGCACATTTCAAAAGCATTTACAGAAAAGAAAAAAGCTAAAAAACATAGATGTAATTCTAAATAACAAACTATTATCCACCTCATTAACTCACTGCCTTGAAGAACAAAGCCTATCAGCTCCAGAGCTGGCCCAGATCATGCAGTCAGATAAAACAGAATGCCTGCATTGGTTGCTTTCCTCTTGCAACAAATATTTCAATAGTAAGTACTAAAATGTGTTCTCTTGTTAATACAATGATTAAAATATTGAATATCCTGCAGATGTCAATTTAACAGACATTACCAATCAAGCACAACAGCCACAGCAAAGCTAAAATGCTGGGGTCCCACTATGCCCACTTAAAGGTACAAAGTTTAACATTACAAATTTCCACAGCCCACATCCATGTGCCACGTTCTATTTTAAAAAGCCAGAACTTCTATCTGCACTGTAATATGCATCTCAAATCATTTTAAGATTAAGGAAATACTCCCATGTACTACATTTTTTTATATGTAAGATACTTACATATAAATGAACTTTAAACACATAACCCACATCAGCATTAGCTCCTAACAGTCAATACTTTATTTCCTAACCTGAGAACATAAACAAATCATATTATTGTATGTTGAATTTTCACAGAGCCACTTGAAGCAATGGACATTTTTAGTCTTTATAGTGTGAAAGCAAAACTCATTGCCATAGACAATGGGAATAACATTAGTAGTTTCCTGCTTTAGGCACTCATGAGTATTCAAGGTTTGCAACAAGGAAGTAGAAGTGAAGTTCAGTTGCCTTTAGGAGATTATTAAGGCAAACACACAGAACAACTGAATCTCTGAGCACTCCTCCTGCACAAAGGCAAATTCCTTGAATCAAGAGCAAGATTATCTACCCCCTCCCCAGTGTTGCTAGGTTGAAAAGTGCTAGGACACAAGCCACCCAAGAAGAGAGCACAATGAAAACATTCCTGTCATGGTACATCTCCAAAAACTATGAAAATAAATATTTTAATCACCTTCGCATATCAGTAGATTCATCTTCCACCGTGAGATCTGTCTGTACCATCTCCTGTTTCAATTCTCCGATTTCTGAGGCAATTGTGTCAATGAGCTAAAAAGGGACAAAAATAGTATGATGTCAAATGAGTGGAAGAGGCGTGGAAAAGAAGCCCGGGCAAGTTTAGTCACCAGAGATTACAAACTTTTTTTTTTTTTTTTTAAAAAATCGTATCCTATCTGGACTTCCCCTTGTAAAGGAAAAAGTAAGGGTTGGGGACACTTATAATCATTCTCAGAGGAAGAATAATTCCCATTTTGTGCCAACCTTCCAGGTTGGCTAGCTTTTTTATTTAAATATATTAAATCTGCAGCCTCAATATATTACACAACAGCTTAAAAGAATGAAATTATTGGATCGTTTGTAGCATTTACTTTCTCAAATAAAAAAAAATATAATTAGAAGAGTTCCATCTGCAAGAGTTATTTCAGAAAGGACACTAAGCCAGCATTACGACATTGTGGTGCGTGAAAAGTAACAAAGCAAGAAGGAAAGAGGTGGCTGCTTTTCACATTAGGTCTTGGACTGCACTTGAACAGAACAACTCAATTAAAAGAGAACTGCCTTCTAACACTTCAGCTCAGGTGGAACACAATCCTAATTTTGGACACAAAGGCAAGAACTCATTTTAAAGCACGCAAGATTAACAACTAGGGCTGTATCCCAAGAAATACAGCATTTGCTAGCCAGATGTCTGGGAAACATTTTGTTGAGCAGAAACCAGCTACGAAGTTTGCAATGCACGCTCTCTTTGACATTCTTTGCAGCAACTGCATCAAGTTTGCTTGACACACCGCACCATGACACCTGGCAGTGTCCCTTCTCTCCTGCCTGTAGTGAAACCTAATGAAAAGGTTTGCAGTGATACCATCTCCTTTACCGCCACCCCCACACCTCAGAGCAAACAAAATCCCTGGCAAATGAAGTAAAAATAGCTTTCCAGTTTAAGCTAGAACAGTCTTCATAGTCGCCCACAAGACATGACCCTGAGTCCCACTACTGTTAGGTAGCTCAGTATAGCAGCATTTCCAAAGAATTGCAGCCAACATTTGCCTATACTGTTTTATTGGAAGTTTTCCCCTACTTCAGAAATTCACACCCTCCTTTGCTGTGCAGCATTATTCTGATCAATTCAAAAGAAGTTTCAGTCTTTGCTTACAATAGGCCAACTTCATTAAGTACACCTTAACCGAGAATGACTTACCATATGCTACATCCATACCATAGGCTTCTTTCTGTCAAGGTCAGAACTCCCAGCCATACTGTACCACTGGCATTACAGTCTCTAGCTACAATAATCACTCTTAAACCATTCAATTAGTTTCAAACATGAATGTGCGTTCTTAAAGTTAGTTCTACATAACTAATGGCATTCTAAAATACTGCTGCTATGGATTTCTTGTTATTAGTATTAAGATGTACAAAACACAAGTCAAAAAAAATGTAATAAATATAGGTTCAGAAAGAAATATGCAATTTGCCATTATTAAATACGGAGTGTGACAGGTACATGAGAAAAACAGAGCACACTTTTGGTGAACAAAATCCATTCCAGGTTTAATTACAGCCTATCAAATGCTTAAATTAGGATTTCCTCTTCCTGGATTAAAATCACATTTCATAACTGACGGCGCTTCACAGTGGAAAGCCAAGGGGCTTTCTTTATTAAAAAGAAGAATGTTGAAACAGAAGCAAAAAATATTCAGTTTTAAGTACCTGCTAAATTTCCCCAGTCTTCATTCATTGTTAGGTTTGCTAAGTGTAATGATGCAGTCAAACACAAGTTGTTACTGCTAAATAGAACAGACACTGCTGAAGCAAGGCTTACTATGTCTCTGCAGCTTTTGTAGCTTTCTTATCGCTTCTGGTTCTGCTGAAGCTTTTCATTTCAATTCCTTAAAACAGCTCGTAATTGCTCAGCAGAGTCTTCTGTTCACTTTTTTAACTCCCTTATCCTTCACACCTTCACCTACATATCTTGGCACATGTCTCACCACTTCCCTACCCTGTATTTTCTGTCCTCCATTCAGGAGTGACATGTTTCAACTTAGCCCCTTCTTCAAGCACGCAAACACAAGACTTGCAAATTTTAATTGATTTCAGTGCCAGGAAATGGAACTTGTAGATTAAGAAGTAGACAGACTTTAAGGCAGTATCTGTCTCTTCTCAGCCACACTGGGCACTAGGTTTCCACCTTTCACGCTAGCCTCCAAACAGTAGGTTGGAGTAGGAAATCCTCCCAGTCTCTCCAGCAGCTGAATGAGTAAAGCGGAATTAATTCTCTATCTACTATGAAGTTTCTAGTATTTTCAGATCTCCTAACCTCCCAACTGCTGCAATAAGGTAGCGTGCAGCCCTTCCTGGCTGCAGCAACTCTCTGCCACTGTTAAAACCTTTCCAAAGTTGCACCTGAACACAACCGAGAGCCGAATTATTATCTGAACTGACCAGATTACAGCCTTCTCTCTTTTCCCACCAGCTAGCCACATCAGGAACGGAACTGCCTTATGGGCTTCATCCTGCAGTAATCGGTAAAAAAATAAATAAATAAAATATTCTAACAGATGAAGCAAGGCTCAGTTTTTATCTTTAAATCACAGCATTCCCTGAAGATGCTTCCTATTCACTGTGAGAGTGTGATGTTTCTCAAGCACCAGGTAGTCACGAATATGAGCAATTAGCCAGCTCTAAATATATTAGGGCAGGCCGTGACAGGAAGCCTGGAGCCACCTCGGAAGGAAGGCACTACTAGTCAGCTACCAACACGCAACGTGAGTCAGCACCTGGAGTCTCGTTATAGATGGCAACTAATTCACAATTATCTGCAACTGCATCTGACTGTTTAAAATATGAACTGGTGATGGAAATCACTACCTGAAGCTCAACATGTTATTAAACACTATTCAAGGATTTAATCTGTTAATGAAACAGACCTACTGTAGGCAAGAGTTCTGTTGGATGCGATATTGAATAAGGTCAGCAGAACAGTCTTTTCATCGAATTAGCAATATAACTCTACTTCAGTGCTACATGCACTGCTCACCCTGTCTGATCCGTACTGCAGGGCTTAATGGGGGGATCACAAAGGGCCCAGGGAGAGCCTGAAATTAGAGGAATCACCCTCATTCCCAGCTCCTTCCATTGCATGGAGCATGATAAAACCTAAGGCTAATCACACAAGCATCAATCTTGGAATAATCAAGCTGGAATGGACCATCTATTAGTTTTCAAGGGATTATCACTGAACTGCTGAAAGGGATTATGTCAGCTCTGCCTGGCAACATATGTGTCTCTTTCAACAGTCTTCCTTCAAATGTCAGCTGTTTGCTTAAGATTCAAGCACAGCAGGAGACAGACTGCTTGGCAATCCCCTGACTTCTTCAAAGAAGAAAAAAACAACCATATAGAGAAGCTGATCAGGAATAAGAGGCAAGTGAGTCAATGCTTGACCCAACTCTCCAAGTCTACCCAGCATTTACTTTCCCTGGACCAGGACTTCAGGAGCTGAGATCACAGAATCAACGAGGTTGGAAGAGAC